ATTTTTCTTTTGTGCTAAAAAAACTTATTTTACCCTTGTTCTTGACTTGCCATAGTTGTCATTTATTGAGTGATTTTCACGAAAAAATTCAGGAAATTCTCGATTCACTTATGGTACTCATCAAAAATGGAAAATTTTCCTCGAAACAGAGTGTAGTAGTACTTGGCATTAATTTTCATGCTGAACATAAAAAGCCTGTACGAACATGTTTCCCCACGTTCTTCCCCCCTCCCCACCCCAGAAAAAATCTCGCTCCTTTTTCAAATTTCTAGTTTCAAGAAAAGCTTCAGCTCCTTTCCAGTCAGTAACTCCGATGCAGTCTGGAATTAAGAGGAAAATGGAAGTGATATCAGAAAAGACGGTGTGAAAATATTACAGAGCGTTAAACTGTTGAAGCGCGCTTTGTGTGTCGGCCACCGAAAATGAATGGCTTCCTCGGATGATTTTGCTAAATGCATCTTTCAGAACAAGCTGCAAAAAAATGCAACAGATTAATGAAGTTACTTTGCTCTATGTGTACACAATGTCTATTCACTAAAAAATCAACCAGTGATGAGCAAATTTTGGCAATTTGGGTTCGTAGACGCCAGGAATGCGCGCTGCCAGGACCGGCTGTACAAGGCTGTGTACACTGGTGGATCCAGGGGGAGTGGGGCGATGGCACAGGTAGCGGTGCTAAAAGTGAAGAAAACTGTCTTCGAAACCGTTCGTCGTCATCCTCAACCCCATTCCTGGTCGTTATCACTAGGAGCGATGAGGGTGGGGAAGGAGGAGAAGGGGGTTTCCGACGTAGTGACGAAAGGTAAAGAGAGAGGGGGAAGGGAAAAATCGCCTCCCCTTCCCCTCAAGGAACCACCCTGGATCCGCTCTACAGATGTGCTACTCTCCCGGACCACGAAAATGAACGAGAGATACTGAAAATGACTTACATCATCATTCCAGGAGCGTCTTCTCCGGTTACTGTGAATCACCGGCTTATTTTCTTTTGTTTTTCCTCTTCTTTCTGGATTCACGCAAGCCGAAGTAGAACTCCGTGCGATGGAACCTGAACAACGTAGTACCAGAAGGAGCCGTTGAGTGACGGCCGGTAGTGCAATATTATTGCCGAATGTGAAACAATGCGCCATTCTGAGCACCTCAGGCGCTCAAATTTCAGCTGCTATAATTGTTGTGAATGTTGTTGTTGCTGAAGATGCTGCAAAATCACTTTAATGTACATTCTGGTGAATAATGGCAAGCTTCTTTTCTACCAATAAAAAATGCAGATAAAACAACAGAGAGAAGGAGAATGAGGTTACGCCGTTAATGCACTTTCAAATTATATAGAAGCACAAGAAAAAAACGCTCGATATCCAGGTAAATCGTATTTTTGAACGTATTTTGAAACTCATCAATTACATATTGAACAAAAAACAATCTTTATACGAAAACAAAAACGGGCCAACATTTGACGAACACACACATACACACATACACACACACACGCACACACTTACATGCATTTCCATACAAAACCTGCGTATTTACTCTATAAAAATTTCGTTATATGAGATTTTTCGACATTTTTTACAAAGTTTATAATTTTTACAAAAACTCTGCACGTTAATTCGTTCACAGACATGAAACCAGGAAATAATCTCGTGATCTCTGCCACACAAGAACAAGCTAAACAACGAGTTTTAAAACAGCTATTCATCCATCAATGCAAATCTGATGAACAGTTTCATACAGCCTGATTTACTGAATACGATTAGTACCAAGCACAAAAAAAAAACACCATATCCGCAGTGAAATGCCACCGGATCAACAGAGCTGCTACTCTTCTGACTTCGGCAATACCTTCACTTTTGCATTTTCAGCTTCTTACTTATGTTGCGCAATTTCTCCTCCGCTGAAGCACTGAGAAGAGGCCTATTTTTGCGTTTGCCTGAAACAGCACCACAAAAATTATTGCCCATTTTTTGGGCTTTACAGAGTGTAATCGGGGCTCAAGCTCACGTTGAATATTTTTCCGTGTTGGTTTTCGATAGTTTTTAGAATAAGCAGGGGGCGTGCATTGCTCTGGGATGTCCGTGACGAAGGGTTGCTTTGTGTATTATCTCTTTTTTTTTTTTAAAAAAACACTCTGAGAATATACAGAGTTTTATTCCTCGCTGTATGACTAGCGGTATGCTATATCCATAGGTGGATCTAGAGAAGGGGAAGAGGGAGGGAGAAAAAAGATCTTTTGCTTCTACAGCGGCACAGGCACCAGTGCTGCAAAAGCCCGGGTTTTTCTATAAATTAAACTAAAGTAACTCGAAGTAGCAGTATTACAACTCTATCCCTAGTTTTTGCATAGTTCCAAGATGGTAGGGGGCTCTTCCCCATCTCCCATCGTCTCCTCCCCCTCAGCAGTTGGCCCTGAATCTGCCTACTGCCATATCTAGCGATTAGACATGCGCATGATAAAAAGTATCTATCACGTACGGCTTGCCTAATTCTATGGAGCCAAGAAGGCTCTGTTCTCTTACTCCAAGTTCAAAATGATCAGTAAATACACCAATCTGTGCTTTTTTAACCTAGCGTTAAATCCTCACGCACAGTTTACGCTGAATTCTGTCACATCGCAGCATCACGCCTGCATCGGTAAACCAGGTACGGGCGGGTATTTATTGAATGATCTATGAGAAAACGGTTAAAATTTTACCACGATAATGCGTTATTTTCGACAGAGCCATTTCCAAATCACTTTTTGCTACAGTGTCTTGTGCCGCACATAGCTCGCATAAATCAAGAACAACTTCCACCTGCAACAATGTTATCAATTGCTAGAGATTGAATACTAACTAAAATTCTCATCAAAGGAGCCCCACTTACCAGAAGCGCCAGCAATAACACTGGAAAAACAGAAATACTCTTGCGGAGCGAAAATCTGTAGAACCCGCATAGGCGGA